ACACTCCCAGAGAATGCAGTCCCATGGATTTAAAAAGTATGGGTTTATAAGAGTCCTGAAATTTCCATCCCTTTGAACTAAAGAGTATTCGGCAATGAATAAATGTTCTGTTATTTCTGGGGGAAAGGGAACAGCTGATTTCATAATGCTTCTATAGACTTTAAAGTTCTGGTCAGCTTTTCACTTCTTTACAATATTCCAGATTTGTTTTCCAAGTTCATATCAGAACTGAAGGCTCAAAAGGGATCTTAGGTTTCTACAGCATCCTGGGGAGAGACAGTGCACCTGTGAAAGGGTCAGCAGGACTGCCAGCACTGTCTGAGACAGTCCCATCCTCCTTCAGCCCAACTTATGATTCCTTTTGTGGACTTTTTTTTTTTTAATGAACTGTCGATTCTAACTCTACATTATTTTTTGGTTTGCTCTCCTTTTGTCACTTTCAGATCAGAAATTGGAACAATGTCATCAGATCTTTGACCACTGCTTCGGGAAGTCACACAACATTTTTCTTCATTTTTTTTCTCCCTCCTCTTCCTTCTCCTAGCCCTCTTCCCACCCTGTCTATTTCCACAGTGTTGTCCTTCTGTAGGACCCAGCATTTCCAAACTTGTGGGCTTTTACTGTTGCCTGAGATTGCACCATGCTCACTAGATAGCATGACCTTTCAAAACTGTCAGCCCTGATACATGTATGTCTTGTATTTGTCACCCTATAGTATCAATACACTCATTCATCTTCTTTGGCAGAACAGCTCCATCTTCTGTTTTATTTCGTGTTCTGGAAGTGCAGGCTAGATAAGTTGTGTTCTGAAAAAGGTCTGCTCTTCCTGCTTCCCATCTCTTGAGTTTGCCAGTTTTGAACCTAGTAGGTGAGTGCTCTACCCTGGATTGCTGATAATCTAAAGAGTTACCTCTCCCATAGAATGTGGTCCAAGGCTCCAGAAAGCTAAAGCTTTCCACTTTTTTTTACAGCCAGCAGCATTCACCAGATTGCCTGCAATATCAGTTTTTTCTTGCCCCATTCTTGATATATGGGAACTCCAGCTGCCGGTTTTCCCCTCAGGTCACTGAGTCATGGTTTGCGCTTTGTTTTTTATTTTTTTCTTTTAATCTTTCCACAGTTTGCTCATTCCTTCCTACTAGGGACAGTATGCCTGCATTCTCCAATCTTTCATTTCTTTTTGCAGTCGTAGGCTTCACCCTTGCTCCAGAGTGCCACCATTTTTTGTAATGTGTGTGCTTGATCACAGCTGTCTTGGCAGCAGGGCCTTTGCTATGAAGTGACCTACCATAATCAACACTTAATTCCCTTCAGTTCTCCCTCTGGGTTCTTGGTGGTGACAGGGGTATTGTTAGGCTGCTCTGTTTTCTTTTCCCTGTTTTTTTTTTTTTTTTCTAGTCAGATAATACCTTGCAATTTTCCCTCCTCACCCTGTCATATCTTGGTTTTCCTCCTCATTCATTTTGGGGTTCTGCATGTTTTTCTGCCTGTCTTGTTCTGCTCTCCCCAGGTGACAGGCTGTCACCACCAGTAGTATCTGTTCTGAGCAGTCGCTGCAGTACCGGCCAAGGCCCATGTGGATTAATTGAGTATTTCCAGTGCAGGGAGGCAGAAACAGAGTGAACAGTGAGCAACGGCTCTGCCCCAAGTGTGAGGAACAGACATCCCTGTCTCTGAGGAGCTCTTGCTTCTTGGTGCGGAGGGTGTCATTTGTTCTTGATGGTGCAATGGGTCTCCTTGGAGTGCAGGCCGGTGAGCAGGGTACATTATGAAACGGATGTGTGTGGCCTAACATACGGGTAACTCTAGTCGGCAAAATAACATTAAAATACTTTCCATTTGGAGATGGAATTTATAGTAGCCAGATGAGCTGCGGAACAAACAACTCTTGTGCTTCTGCTGCTGTGTTTGTGTGAGCCTGAAGGCTAACAAACAGGCAGAGAGCTCTGGCCCGCTCAGCCGGGGAAAATAATAGTTTCCACTAACGATGAAGTTTGAACTGATGGAATTTTCGCAACACCGAAAGAGCGCATCAAAAAAAGAAACCTTAATTTCCTCTCACCCCTCCCCATCTGTCCTTTAACCTGCACAAAGACTGCAAAACACTGTGTTAGTAATTACAAAAACATCTCTTCTGAGGGGGGAAACTCTGAAAGAGGGACTGGGCTTTTAAACATCGTTGTCATGAGTGTCCATATGTCTGTTCTTATGGACAGGCGCAGCAGAAGACTTGGCTGATCAGTGGGAAAAAACCCCCAATCTTTTCCCATTAGTTCAAAAGGTATACCAAAACGAAAATGCAGATTGAGGAGTCTGTGTATCCCTTTCACAGCAGCCTAGCTTACATGTCTGAAATCACGAAATTGTTTTGGCTGGAAAATGTGGGTAGAGATCTGTTTTAGGCAGCTTGGGATTTTCCTGATGTGTTTTCCCATGCCCAGGGGAGGGATTTATTACATCTAATTATACATTTGAGATGATTGCTTTGGGGTAATGACCGACATTATCACTGGCAGCAAATATTTACAATATAAGCTAAAAAACATCACGAATACTCAGTCAGTGTGATTCTGTGTTGCCATCATCTGTTGTAAAATGCTGATGTGTCTTGCAACAATCCCTCACCAGGCTGTTAAATTGATAAGGGGCTCTTGCACAGCCATTTAGAAAGGAAGTGACTCTATTTGGATCATATCCTCAGTTGTTTGCAACAAATATTATTCAAGCTATTTTAAGATGTAGACCTTTTTCTTAATTTAGTATACTACTAAAAATTTAAGCCCCATTGTCATGACTTTTAGCAACAGGAGCATTAGAGGCTTGCTGGCTGCCCCCTCTTCTTACTCTAATTTGGTATAAACTATTCCTGTCCATCTCAACTCGTCTGTTTTTGGATTAGTAACCACCTCTGGCTGTGGCTGTTCCAGCTCTCCTTTAGCTGGAAGGGACAATGTGTATCAAATGTCCCAGCTAATCTCACTGGTATGCTCTCCTCTCTCATTCTCTCAGTGGAGAGGAGAACAAACACTAAACTGAGTCTCTGCTACCGGGATATTTGTATGCCCTATCTCTGGGATGGGGCAGTAGGAGTGAAGCTCACTCCTTAATTTTTACTGACCAAATCATAGAATCATAGAGTGGTTCAGGTTGGCAGGGACCTTAAACATCAACTAATTCCAACCACCTGCCATGGGCAGGGACATCTTCCGCTAGACCAAGTTGTTCAAATCCCCATGCAACCTGGCCTTAAACACTTCCACAGGTGGGGCATCCACAACCTCTTCGGGCAACCTGTGCCAGTGCCTCACCATCCTCAAGAAGTGAAGAACTTCTTCCTCACAAGTAATCTAAAACTACAATCTTTCAGTTTAAAGCCATTACTGCTTATCCTATCGCTATGGGCCCTTGTGAAAAGTCCCTCCCCAGCTTTCCTTTAGGTACTAGAAGACTGCTATAAAGTCTCCTTGGAGCCTTCTCTTTTCCAGGCTGAACAACCCCAATTCTCTCAACCTGTCTTCATAGGAGAGGTGCTCCACCTCTTCTGGTTCATCTTCATGGCCATTCTCTGGACATGCTCCAACAGGTACTTGTCCTTCTTGTGCTGGGGGCCCCAGAGGTGGCCACAGGACTCAGGAGGAGTTTCATGAAAGCAGGATAGAGGAGGAGAATCACCCTTCTTGGCTTGCTGGCCATGCTTCTTTTGATGCAGCCCAGGATATGGTCGGCTTTCTAGGCTGCAAGCATACATTGCTAGGTCATGCTGAGCATCTCATCAACCAATGCCTCCAAGTCCTTCTCCACAGGACTGCTCTCAATCCACTCATCACCCAGCCTGTATTTGTGCCCTGACCCATAATCATGACCTTGCACTTGTCCTTGTTGAACTTCATGAGGTTTCCATGGGTCTACCTCTCAAACCTGTCAGGGTCCCTCTGGATGGTATCCCTTTCCTTCTATTTGCCAACTGCACCACACAGCTTGGTGTTGCCAGCAGACTTGCTGAGGGCGCACTCAATGCCACTGCCCATATCGCTGACAAAGATGTTTAACAGTGCCAGTCCCAAGAGTGGCACACCCCTGCTGGAACATGATACCGTGTTCCTGATGGTCGGAACCATCAGGAACACTTAAGGAACACCATCGTTGATAAAGGATAAGGACAGGCTCCTTTCATCCTCCCTAAATGATGCAGAAGTTGAACGGATCACGCGAAGTCACCGTTCTCAGAACTTCTTTCATTATCCCCAGAAACGGGGCTGTATTCCAGGGATTTTTCTATGGGATATATCAATATGAAGACTTTAATCTAAGTATTCAAAGATATTTCAGATAAAGCAATGATAACCCATGTGTGGGAATAGCACTTACCAGTTTGGACTCCCATTAAGGTTTTCGTTATTATTAGGAAAAATATATGCAATTGTAATCTAGAGTGAGAGATTTTTATGAATTTTGTGTAGTAAATGACCTGCTAAAAGCAAACCTTAAACCTCTGTTTAGAAATGAAACAGTTCAAGAACTTTCCCTTAAATCTTACAGTCAGGCTCAGACTTGTAGAAGTGTGTTACGTGAGACTGAAAATAATTTGATGCCAAGAAATTCAGCACTGAAAATAAGAAACTTATTTCAGTCCCTTGTCTTCTGAGCTATGTAGGCATTTCTTTATGTTGTCATAATACATATTTTTATAAACAAAACAACTTGCTAACTTTCTTTTGTTTCTCTCCTGTGGGTTTTGGTTGTTGCTTTATGTAGAGTACACTAATGGAAAAAATATGTTCAATAAAAATGTGATAGATATTTTATATAAAAAACATCTGGACTGCCAAATTTGTATCTATCTCCCTCACAGCAAAAGAAAATTGTCAGTAACTGAGATCCAGACCACAAAAACAATAACTCCCAATTAGATCAATACATGTTAAATGCCTAAATAAGAATTTTAGTTTAGCGGCCCTAATCGTTATGATTTCTAAATTGGTAATAACTCTTTCCAACAGCTATTCAAGAAAAGCACTTTAAGAAGCAAGCTGGCCCAACGATAAAAGAAGACAATATATCTAACAAGACTGCTGTACAAGAAGGTGGACTTCTACTAGAAGTGAGTTAAAAATGCTGTCTTTTCTGGCTTTAATTTATTCAATTTGATGATATATTTGGGTTGATGCTTTGTGGCAGCTTTGGACAAGCAATCAGTCTTGGTATGAGTCATTCAAGGATCACACTTGTGAGTGCTTCTTATAAGAGCAAAACTGGCAGTCATGATAGTTCCAGTTAGTCTCCGTTTGGACAGTTGTACCTTATGCCCTTGTACCCTTGAAATTAGCAGTGAACGCCAGTGGGCCCATGAGCTGGTGTTCACAGTTCTTTTTCACTTGAAGCCATAGCAGAGGTTTACTTTACTGGGCCCATATTTTGAGGGTGGCAACAGAAGCTTGCCTGTTTGCTGAGCAGAGCTGAGACTATTCTGGGATCTTTTAATTTATCCTACTTTCTTAATTCTGTGCTCTGAGACAAGCCGTGTATGCACAAGTTATTCCTTCTAGGTTTTTTTGTTCTCTGTAAGATGGCTTTATATTGGCAGAGCAGCATCAAGGGGCCATACTGTTACTGAGGGTTGGATCCATTAATCTGAAGGAAGAATTAATTCTGCTGTGAACTACTGAACCAGCTACAGCACAGCAGTCCATCCCAGATACATCTACATTTCAAACACATGATGTAATAATGCCTCTTATACACTGAGGTCCTTGGAAATTCCTATGTTATTAAGACTACTTATGTACAGTTGTTTTGGAAAGGATGATATTAATGCTATAAAAATTGTGTTTTAATGACAGCTCTGAGATACATGTAAATGTAAATTACATAATATCCTCCAGCAAATGAATGCTGTATACTAGTAAAGAAAAAAGACATTTTATCATGGGATTCAATATCATCAGTCATTCAAATCTATGGGATGGAAACTGGCACCTTGCTTTCCTTCCTCTTCATACTTCAGAAGATTTTATTTTTGTATTTCAAAGCAAATAACACAGAGGCATCTGATTAGTTAATGCTACTGCCAAAATGAGGTGTTTGGCTGTCAGGTATTATTTGCAGTCATTTCCATTCTCAATTCATAGGGAGTACAGAGCATACAATAAATGATAAATATGGTGAGTATAGAATTTTTAATGAGGCTCTCTTATATTTACTCTGTTCTGTTGGGTGTATATCACATGCCCACAAGTTATAATCATTAAGGATCTTCAAACAGTAACCTTACTGCTATGAGCATATGGAGAGAACACTGGTATGTAATTTCAGGTAGGTGACAAGAGACTAATATTACTGAAGATGATGATCGGCTTACTACAGGGTATGTAGGAGTCACATTCCCTTTGAATGCATGGGAAATATTTTATCCTGGATCATACCTGATGTGAATCATTAACTGGATGACTAAGTGCATGTTAATATCAATGTATTTGCCAGGCTTCATTTATGGGCATGCCTGACCTAGAATAAGAGGGTGCATTTTCCTTAGGGCTTACTGGGAATGTTCCCTGGGGACTAAGTTTGGCTTGGATGGTCATTCAGTAGCCACAGAATGTGAAAAAATGTGTTGGGGTTTTTTTTGTTGTTCAACCAAATTCACCATGTTGATTATTAGGGAATGTGGGATTTTAATTAAATAGTTGCATTTGTGATTCCTTCCAAGGAGAAGCTAAGAGTCTTGCTGGTGGTTGCCATGCTTTGTATATTGACTTGTGAATCTGGCCACTTTATTTGCTCCCAAAAGATATTTTTCAGCTGTCAAAATCCGCTTTCCTTCTCATGACACCACCTTGCACTGTGCAACCTTTCCTAGATTCTTACGTAATACAAACCAGAGTAATCTGAATCACCATAATATGTGTGAATAATACTGTTCCTGCGTGCAATATTAATGGAAAACTACATATAATTGCCTATTTTTTTTTCCCTAGTGGGTAAGATCAATGTGCTGCCCTATGTATAGCTTGACATATGGAATAACAAGAACCCTAATTACTGGTAAATAATGTATCTGTGGCTCTTGAGTCTTGGAACAATGCAGTACTTGCCCTTTGAACTTGAAAGAAAACAATGGAATTAGGCTGTCTTCAAAGTATGTTTAAAATGTTTTTTATTTCTAAAGGCCTCTGCCACAACATGTGGTTTTTATTTAAAATTTTACTGAGATTTTTTACAGCTATAATCAAATAGCTTTCATCAGCAATAACAGAATAAACAATGATACCAGTTTATCAAAGACTTTTTAGTGGAGCACAGCAGGTATCTAAATAAATAATTTCTTGTAGTGTTTTGAGATCACTTCTTCTGGATAAGATATTCTTTTCTTGCCATCTTTGTTTCCCTTCGGAGGGAAGACAGACAAAGCTCTAAGAACCAAAGTCCAATTTTCTTAATGGTCTTTTTGACTATACCCTGTTCTTGCAATCTTTGCTTTCCTTGGAGACTTCAAACTCCAACAGTTTGACTGCAGTAATGATTTTTAACTTTGAACTTTCAAAATATTTTCCAAGACAGGTGATATTGTAACCTTTGTGCCACATGCCTTCTGGCAGAAAAGGGCCACGTCCAGTTTCTGAAGCCTGTTAGTGGACACTTAAGGAGCACTGGACCAAACTTGTAACCAGAGAAGTGGGAAAATAAACTGTATTGGCAGTCAATAAATCCAGAAAGAATTTATGGGGTGTTGGGGTGGAGAAACACTGTAAAATGGTGACTCAGAAAAATAAAAATGAATCACTGGTGGGTATCTAGGCAATAGCTTTGATTGCAGTAATCATCTCATGGCTGTTAGCCACCTCCTACTCTCCCCCCTAGCTATGCTGCACTCACAGTCTCAGGTCCAGACTCAGTGTATACACTGTTGTGCAGGTAATTCCTCATCCCAAATGCATGTGTAATCTTCATATGTTATACCATCCTTTCAGAAGAATTTAATGTCCATTGTTGAAAGGGAGGCTCTATCTGGACTTGTTTTCTCAAAGGCATGCAGTCAGGCAGTGGGCCCCCCGTTACCACTGACACTGCTTCTTGTGTAATCATCATTCATATATAAAGCAGGACCCTGCTAACTGTCTCACTTGGAATTTATTGACCACCTCTCAGTTGCTCCTGCAGATTTTTTTCTCATTATGGAAGAATCATTGATGCTCAGATTTCTGCTCAACCTTTGCTGCTGAAGGCAATGTCTTGATGGCCCTTCTTACCCTCTTTGTTAACTCTATTGGTCTTCTATTCTGCTGTTGTAGGCTGCAGCATAGGATTTATGGTATCTCTGTCTCCAGATGTAGTGAACATAATCCTTTACAGGTTTGAAAATAGTGTTTTATATACAAAAAGTTGCAAAAGTGAAAAAGAAATCTGGATAATCCGAGCTGCTCCCCAAAAGATGCTAATGGAGCAGGACTGCCTGATTCCGTTACACCCCATCTTGCTGATGAATACTGATAAAGGCCTGTCCTGTCATTTCCGTCCTCACTGGCAGCTCACTGTCTTTCAGGGAAGGTCCTTGTTTTCAAGATGTTCCAAGCCACTCTTTTGCCTAGTTCACAAACAAATTTCCACGTGAGTCCTTTACTCTTAAGGCTTCAGGGCACAAGAATCACATTTCTGTGGTTTTGTCTCATGTTTTACTGGCTGCCCTGAAGGGATCTGGACAAGGGGATTGAGGGCACCCTCAGTAAATTTGCAGATGACACCAAGCTGGGCAGGAGTGCTGATCTGCTTTGAGGGTAGGAAGACTCTACAGAGGGATCTGGGCAGGTTTGCAACTTATTTAATGGTCTTTTAATTGGAAATTCTTAAAAGTTATGTCTGTCTTCAGAAGTGGAGAAAAACTAGTGAAAGCTAGTTTTAGTGGTGAGGCCTCTATAATTCTCCACTTGTATCAATAATCTTAGCTTCATTATGTTAACTACTTAATCATCTAACGTTGGATTTTTCAAAGTGAGCTTCCATGTTTTGTAGGCATACTTCTACCATTTAGCAGATGAATTTTGCCGATTTGAGTTGTAAGTAACGTAATTAGGGACACAATTCAGGTATCTAGCTGCTGAA